AAGTGATTGCAGAATTGGCAGCCAGTTTAAAATAAGTTTTTGTAAAAAGCTATATGACTTATGGTTGTATAATTTGGCTCGTATCACCGCTGTACCAATTAGAACACGGGGGAGAGAGAGAGAGCAACTTCAAAAGAAACGGCTACAGAGTCGATTAGGCTCCCTCCACACAGGGAGGAAAAGCTTTCATCGCGACATGGGCATTACATCAGTCTCGTGCGCTGTGTTCCTCGAGGTCTTGCTTCCTGTCTACTTCCGCGGGTCTGTGAGGGCTGCCACCCTCTCTGAATGTGCTGCCCCTGTTCTCCGTTTCACTCGGTCGCTGCCTTTCTAGAACTTCCGAGACCTGCTGGATGGCCTTGAGTTGCATCTCTTGATCTTAGATCCTCGTTGCAGCCTCTAGCTGTGGCGGGGTTGTCGTTTTCTCACTGTATTCTCTTGGATTTGAGCTGCAGTCCCAAAGGATGTGAACTGCGCTTGCTTTCCCCTTCACGCATAGTCCACATATATCACTCGCATACACACTCGGACACACATGCTTAGCTAGCACCAGGGTGAGCTGAGACCTGGTCTGTAATTGTCTGTATAACACTGCCTCCTACCGAGTAAGCCTTGGGTAGGTGGTGGCGTAGTCTGTCTGTTTAGTTTGTACCATTTTATTTCGTTGAAGGGGGTGATCTTGTCCTTGGCACTGTACCACGACCAACCCTCAGAGTCGGCAGTGTTTGCAACCGCGCGGGTGGTTCGTCCTCGCACGACCGGGTTGGCCCTCTCGTTGTGGTTCGCGTTCTTGCACTCCAACATGTCACTGCCCATGTGAGCCGGAAACCATTTGATAAACACAGTATTTTTGCATCCGATGTCTTCGACCTTGCACAGTATGCGCGAAGCCTCACTACATATCTTTCCCTTCGCGTTGTTCTTCACTGCCGTTCTAGTCTCGCAGCACTGTAGTGCATCGGAGGTTGGAGATGGTCAAGGCAATGGCCACCTCCTCCGCGCAGTGCGCTTCTAAGTTGGCCACCTCCTCCGCGCAGTGCGCTTCTAGAGTCCGGACACTCGCTGCGGTCTTCGTTGCACTCGTCGGCGCCCTGATAATCACCACTGCATCCACGTAGACAGCACCTTTGTCTTTGGCATGGAGGTCCATGAGAGCCCTGGCCTTTACCAACCTTTGCTCCTTGTTGTGCTCGGGGTTCATGTTGTTCGGGATAGGGCAGACCCTGAGCTTTCTGTTGTTGCCATCTGGTGCAGGTACGTTATTCCGCTGCTTGTCTTTCTCAGCTCTAGGCCAAGGTCTCGCAGTACCTGCCTTCTGGTTCTCGTTTCAGAAATGCTCGAGTTGCGTCGTTACTCTGTGCCTTCAGTTCATTATCTCGATTGCAACGCAATATCGGTACTTGGGCATTATACTTACACCTACTCTATCGTGGCTCGACCACATTAAAGCAATGTCTGCCAACGCCTCCAGCTCGCTTTGTTTCTCTAAGTAATTTGAAAGCTGCACCTTCAAGCATTTGCAAATCATCATACTTAACTCTGGTTTGCCAATAACTACAGTCCTCATTCCAGTATATCGTATATAAAACGGAAACTTTCACTTCCACTCTTGAACATCCGTCGTGACATTCCCTTGGTTTCATTCTTTCATAAAATCACCCAGAATCACCGTTGTCACTGGTCTGCACAAACCATCTCACCTCGCGTGGATTACACAATCATCTCGGCTATTCCCGTATATACGGCTCTACAAAGGCGTTCAACAAGTCTGCACTCCCACCTGCCATTATTCTCTGAAATAGTTCACCTGATTACATTGCTGCCAAGACAAATCATGAAACATTCCGTCATATGTTATCGATCCACTTCACAAACTTCACCGAGTAGATGCCTTTCCGCAGCGCAAGGATAAATTTTGGGAACTTTTTCACCCTACACCATCATCAAAGCAAATCTCTCTTATGCTACCTCAGATGAGCTATTTCTGACTGGCGGTTATCCCACCTATCTAATTTTTTTTCCTCGTGGAGGTGCCCCTCTTTACAAAGAAAAAATGAGGAATTTTCTGAGAACTCATTTCATTTAATGCTCACGAGTCCGGTTCTCATACAACTCAAGGCTGTCCAGAAGGCCCACGATGCGGCAGTGAGGCTGGGCCTCCCCGTCCCAACGTGGGAGCGGCCCGCGATCCTACCCCTATAAAACGGGGGTGGAATCCTTCAGGACCCCAATAAAGTTTTTCATCCATCCATTCAGTAAATTCACCATCGCTGTATTGCCGCTATGAAATGTATCGTTTTCTTTTTATCTTCATTGCACATGGTATTAGTTTTGATTTTGTAAAACATGAACTCGTTTTAAGATAGTTGCAGCTGTGACATGTAACTGCACCGTTCTTGTCCTCTATAAACGCACATTTTTGCTTACTGTTTGCATGCGTGCGTCATCTTTACATGTATGTATTGATATAATATAATGCTTTCTGTTTATTATATTGCAATTGTACATTTTCTCATGTATTTTTGCCAACTTGATATGTATATGTACACATATCTAGTGTATCGCCCCCCTTACTCGATGCCCCCACCCCTGAGGCCTGTAAGGTACCTTGAAATAAAAAAATAGAAAATGAAAAAAAGTATAGACTGTTTGACGAGATTTTGGGGGTACATAAGCATTGATCTGCTCAACAGCCCTCTTTAGAAACAATCTGCAAGCACTTGCTCACATGTGTCGCTGCACTGTGCGATTTATGTAGAACGACAAAAAACTGCACTGAAAAATGTGTTGGTGCTCATTGGATGGCTCCACTTCCTTGTTCACACTGCATTCATACCTCAGGCTATCATATGTGTTGATTTGCATTACTTCAAATGCTTTTTCGACTTCGTCACAACTTGACACTGCTTCCTGCCCATCTGTTCGTTTTTCCTTTCCATTAATAGAGTAGCACCCATAGTGATGCTACTGATGCTCGCTTGATATCTTTCAGTGTCAAGAGAGTGGCATTGGCTTGTAGTCAAGGCTATGTAGGGAGCATTACCAAAGCACTTACTGCAGACAAAATTCACATACCTGCCAGACATAGCTGCCAAGTCTCCCGGATTGGCCGGGAGACTCCCGGATTTTGACTGTTTTTTCTGGTTGTACGGTTGCCATGAAAATCTCCCAGAAATCAATTTCTGTGTGTGATCTGGCCGCATTGACAAAAAAAGCAGCTCAATTCGCTCCAGGCTTTTTGAACCTATATACCCCATTTTATTATACATGAGTTTAAGAGGCGTTCATGTAAACGTACAGTATATTCAGTGATGCGAAACCGCGGCAGATACGAATTCTTGAAGTTCCCCAGCCAAATTTTACTATGTTCATTGGGCCTCAATTCAAATGTCCCGAACACATTTCCTTATCGTGGCAGGTGACACGAACTTCAGTACGGAAACTGTTGAACGAAGGCCAAGAGCAGTTTACGCGAAGCTTCGAAAGTACGCGTTGCCCCGCCGCGGTGGTCTAGTGGCTAAGGTATTCGGATGCTGACCCGCAGGGCACGGGTTCGAATCCCGCTGCGGCGGCTGCATTTCCGATGGAGGCGGAAATGTTGTAGGCCCGTGTGCTCAGGTTTGGGTGCACGTTAAAGAACCCCAGGTGGTCTAAATTTCCGGAGCCCTCCACTACGGCGTCTCTCATAATCATATAGTGGTTTTGGGACGTTAAACCCCACATATCAATCAATCAATCGAAAGTACGTGTGCGACCAGCGCAGGCACTGTCTTGTACAGTGCGTGCGATTGTCGTTGCCAGAACCGTTGTGGACGAAACCGCGGTCGCTCTTGACACGATCATGTATGGCGACGACGTACCTGACAGAACCCCGAAAAGTGTGCGCTCAACCAGTCAAAGCAACGCTGCTTTTCACAAACTCTGCGGACAAAACTGCGGCAGATGCTATCGTAGATGGCTTAAAACGACTTGGCTTTGAAGACGCGTGCGCAGCCAAATGCATGAGGATTGTAAAATGAACGCAACCGCCGCGCACATAACCGTGATCGCGACAACAGGATAGTGATCTACGAGCCCCGGTGGCACGCAGCAGTAGGTTAAAGGCCTTGCACAGCATTTATTGCAGTTTCGCCGCAAGGGCGAAGCAATAAATGCGACAGCAACTTGGAATGTAACGCTGAGAACGGCAAGCAGATCGAAACGTGCAGCGCGCTGCTCCCACACGAATTACGCACGAAAACGATACTCGCAGGACGAGAGCGAACTAACGTTTACCGCTCGACACGTAACGTGCTGTTTAAACCAAAACGATGCACCGTCGCCGTCCTTCACCGTATACATATACGGTGAATTGGGTATGTGGGAAAGTGGGTATGTATACATATACGGTGAAGGACGATGGCGACGGCAAAAAAAAACTGTCTTTATTGTTCATATAAAATAAAAAAGGGCCAGACGCATTTTGGCGTTCCTGTCAAGAGTTAGTAGTGAGCAAAGCTTTGACCCTCGCTTTTGCGGCAGCCAGCTGCGCCATCCGGTCCGTTCACGTGTGTCCCAGGATGACGCATGAGAGTTGTTTTGACCGAAATATATTTTGCTAGTTTGTGGATCCTTTGAGACTCTCACCTTAGGGAAAAACTCTACCCTCGTGTGTTCGGCCACTCCTAGCCACTATAAGACAGCAACACTGATGCTTGTGATTGAGACCTCCCTTTCACCCCCTTTTGTTTTTCGTGTTTGTTTTTGGTTTCTTTATTTTGTGTGCCCCCCCCCCGTCGCGGAAATCTTCTGGATTCAGAATCCTTGAAGTTGGCAGGCATGCAAAGAATTTTATTCTGACCTAGCATTCAAGCAATATGCATGCCTCTTGTAGTTTCCAGAATCTTCTGAACTCGTCCAAACTATGATGACCAAATAGTCATCCAAACTATGAAATGGATTTGACTTGTCTCTCATGCTAGCACTGCATTTACTTACCGGATCTTTTTCTTCTGTTCCAGCTTCGCAATGTCGTCCAGAAAGAAGGTGCTACTTAAGGTCATCATCCTTGGAGAAAGTGGGTATGTATCATTCTTATAAGAGGCCTCTCCAGATGTTTTTAAAAGTGTTGTTAAAAGGGTACTGACACGAAATTCATGGCCTAGATAGCCTGCTGAATTTACAGCAATCTTTAAGTCTGAATTTTAATGTGATAGCATTAAAAAGCTCGTTTTGCGAGAATTCCGGCGTCGTTGGTTATGATCAAAAAATTATCTTATGTGTTACCAAAAATTCAAGAACAATGGAAATAAAATAAGTGATTTGGAAAATCGGCATATCCCACGTACAGAGGGAATTAATGATATGTGAGCATGAATAAGGATGCTTGATATGTCACTTAAAAATCAGCACTATGTTACGAGGCGGACGTAAATTATGCCGTACATGACTTCCATGTACATGACTTTTGGGACGTTAAACCCTTGGTTTAACGTTAAACACGTTAAACCCTTGGTGAAACCAAGGCTATCCTGTTTACATGTCATTTACGTTCGTCGTCTATTCACGTCGCATGATACCAAATTCGGTATATGTGGAACTAGCGAAACGACTGAGCGCACTATGAGCGTAGCATGTGGTCATGTTTTACATGACACGCATGTCATGATTATCATGCTTTGACGGGTCACTTACTTTCGTAGTCTATTCATGTCACGTGATACCGAATTCGGTATATTGTCACGTAGGTGACTGTACGCCGCAGACGGTGTGCAGACCTATAGAGAGGGAGACCACGACCGGAATAAAATAAAGGAATATGTTAGGCTGACTTGCGCCCGAAAAGAAGCCAACATGCACCACTCGGGAATAGCGAAAAAAAATACAGGGCAGTGTGCCCTGCATTTTTTGGGGGTACATAATCTATGGACTGCTTTCTTGTCGAGGGGCATCTGGAAAATTTTGATGGCTGCCGTCTTCTTGGGGTCGGGGCGGACGCCTTCGCGACTGATTACATGTCCCAAAAAAGGGAGCTCTTCGTAGGTGAAAGGACATTTCTGCGGCTCCAAAGTAATTCCCGATGCCTTAATCGCATCTAGTACTGTTTGCAGCCTGTGAAGATGCTCGTCGAATGTGGATGCAAAAACGACCGTGTCATCCAGATAGACGAGACATGTCTGCCATTTCAACCCGAATAACGCTGCGTCCATGACATGCTGAAATGTCACCGGCGCTGACCATAGGCCACACGGCATAACTTTGAACTCGTAAAGGCCATCCGGCGTGATGAAGGCAGTCTTGTCACGGTCCTTCTCGTCCACCTTGATCTGCCAGTAGCCACTCCTGAAGTTCATCGACGAAGAGTACATGGCGCTGCACAATCTAACGTATTGTCTATTCTCGGCAGTGGGTAGACGTCCTTCCAAGCGTTCTGCGACCACACCACACTTTTATTTTAAACGAAATTGGGAGCCGTTCATCTAAACATACAGTAGTCTCAGTGATGCGCAACTGCAGCCAATACGCATTCGTGAAATCTCTCGGCCAAATTCCACTATGTCTATTGAGCCAAAATTTGAATATTCTGAACACTTTTCCAAATCGCGGCGTGTGGTGTGAGCTTTGGTGCCGAAACCAGCGAACGAAGGCCGATCGAGAGCAGCGTGCTCGAAGCTTCAAAAGTAAACGTGTGACCAGCGCACGCATTGTCTTTTGCAGTGCATGTGGTTGTTGCCACAGCCGCTGTGGACGAAACTATGGTCGTTCTTGACAACCGTGTATGGCGACGACACTGAGAGTACTCCGAAAGTGTGCGCGCGTCCAATGCTCGAACAGTCAAAGCAACACTGCTCTCCGCAAACTGTGGACAAGACCGTGGCAGATGCGATCATAGAAAGCATAAAACGACTTCGGTTTGAAAGCGCGTGCACAGGCACTGCACGCGGATTGAAAATGGATACAGTTTGTGCAACCGCCGCGCACAAAACCACGGTAGCAGCGACGCCATAGTGATCTACGAGCTCTGAGGACACGTGGCTAATGCAGCGGTAGATTAAAGGCAGTAAAGACATGAAAAAAAGGCTAGAAGCCTTTTGGTGTTCCTGTCCAAAGAATCTAGTAGCGAGCAAAGCTAAAGCTATGACACGCGCTTTCGTGGCAGCCAGCTGCGTTGTCCCGTCCGTTCACGTGTGTCCCAGGAAGACATACACGATTTGTTTTGATGGAAATAAAATTCTTGCTTGTTAATAGGATGACTCAAAAATTTTGGTGGTATTTGCACTGCCCGTTGAAACTCTCGCCTTAGTGGGAAACCTACGCCGTGTGTTCGGCCGCTCCAAGCCATTGATTATAAGACTGCAACGCCGCTGTTGGAGCTTGTGATTGAGATCCCCCTCCCCTTGTTTTTGCGGAATGTCTTTTTTTTTTTCCATTCTTTTGGTGCGAAAAAAAAACTGTAGAAAATAATCCAGCGCGTCCACCCCCACCCACTTCTGTTGCGGAAATCTCCCGGATACACCCACCCACCCACTTCTATTGTGGAAATCTCCTGGATTCAGAATCTTTGAACTTGGCAGGTATTGGGGTGGCGTCGTCTGCCTCTCGCAGGTAGGCCTTAATTTTATGAGGTCGTTGGTCAGGTAGGGTGGTGGAGCGTTGATGTGGTATCCGCGAAGGCCCATCTGTCAATAGGGGCAGTGTCGCAGAAGGTGATTGGCTTCACCGCAGTGGAAACAAAGAGGTCGTCGATCTGGGGTTTGTAGCGGCACGTATCCCGAAGGCGTGCGGCCACTAGCCTGGATCCGGTCTTAGCGAGCCGCAGAGCACGCGTTAACCGTCGCCGTGGCGAGAACACTATACTGCTCAAGGTCGCAACACTTTATTGTCAGTGGCAACACCAAACGCAGTACAGCCTGTTGCAAAGGCGCGGCGGGAAAGCAAATGGGCTTATCCACGCCATGGGTGTAAAAGTAGTACACAGGGTGCCACGAGCACGTCTCCGTGGTAAAGGTGATTCACGGAGACACCGGGACCGGTTGCTCGAGCGAGGGCAAAGGTGCTCGCATTATGTGAATGTTGGATTCGTAAATGAAGCATGGAAAAATGACAGCCAAAGTGTCACGCTAAAGGTGACTCAAAGTATCACGAATGCTCATATTCATCTGAATGCATTTGAGAAGTTGGCGGTGGCACCAGCTTTTCAGCTCTTCGGTGATGAGGTGATTAGGGGATTATTTTTGTTTCAGACAAAGTCGAGAAAGTGAAGCCAACTCAGAACTTTATTAAAAGTATATATTAATTAGAATAATGACCTCCCGATTGCCGAAAAAGCTGTCTACCCAAATTCGCCAAACTGAGTTTCTAAAAGAATTTTGAGACCACCTAAAAGAATGGAAGACACATGCCACGAACACGATTTACGGTTTCCTTTCATCGAGCACAGCAGAAAGACTGTCATAATTGAGAGCACGGTGCAACTGCTCAAATTCCTCAGGTGTGCCGGTTTCAGATATTTGGTGACTTTAAGTTTAAACCAGGACAAGCTCGGAAATATATTTCCAATTGTTCGGCAGACCTCTGGCGCAAATGATCACCCTACTGCAGCTCAGGTTTTAGTGACAATAAATGCCCTTGAATTTTATAACCTTGCAAGACCACCAAAGTCGGGGAAATGTTTACCGCAGGTTATCGGCTCTCTTTTGTCTGGGAATGGCCACCCGCGCCTGCCACAATTGATGTCGTTAAGTCTCATCGATGGAGATTTTAGTGGCACGGAGACTGCACTAGCATCATGCGTAGACCACAGTGCATATGTGGGATAAAAAAAGCCATGATATACTCGCTTACTATATTGCTGGGTATGTAGCCTGTCAGACACCAAAAAAGACGCAGTTTGAGACTCGCACAACATATGTCTCGCATCGTACAGGAGCACAGCAACAGGGACTGATCGGGCTTCACTGTTTGATAACAGAGGCCTCGCATACCCGTCTAGACCCCTCAAAGCAGCTGTTGCAAAACTCAAAAAATGGTTTTACTACGTATTTCAGCGTAAGCTGCATGAAAAGAGTATTGTAAATTTGAGCACTTTTTTGGACAAAACAAACAAGATTTCCTTCAGCTACGATGTGAATAACATTCACATTTCATCGCAAAAAGCCTCATGAAGTCCTACATTTTACTTAGATTCCACTTCAGAAAATCACTGAACAGCGAAACAGATGTATTGCGGCAAAGAATGATGCTGACTAAACCCATGTTACGGAACCAATAAAGATTTTAATGCTCTTAATTATGTCTCGGGAAGTGATAAGCAAACTTCGTACTATTCTGCAACTAGTGCAACGGTATTCTTTACTTACGTGTGCACAATTTTCACCTTCTGTAATAAAAGAGAATACACAAACGCACCAGGTAATAAGACGGTAAGTTGGGCCAGTTGGTTAGGATCCATCGTGAACTTTCTTACAGCGCAACACCAGAAAAAATACAGGACAGGGAAGGAGTAGAACAGAAAGAAAAGACGGCGCTTTTTTTTTTTTTCTGTTCTACTCCTTCCCTGTCCTGTATTTTTCTGGTGTTGCGCTGTAAGAAAGTTCACGATGTACACCAGGTAAGCAAACGCAAAAGTGCTTTTCTAAACCTCTCCGCCAGCCCGCCTGTAAGCGGGAGCCGCAGGAGGGGCGTCTGCTCAAGGAACTTTGATTGACACCAGCACCACCATCACATGCATCACCAAGCGGCCGCGGCGGAGACGGCAGACTAGCTAGTATATTCTAGGGACCATTATACTGGCAAAGCATTGCGGCTGCTGCACGTTCGTTTTACAGGTGCTTCTGCGGCACGTGCGTGACAAAGCCAGCAACAGCAGACCATAATCCTCCTGACATGCGTCACAGCCTTGAGTGGCCATGTGACCAAACTACACTGCAAAGTCGCAGCCCAGTTATGGGCTCAGAAATCGAAAATGGTCCACATAAAGCAGATATTAATTTATTTAGTGCGAATGAATGAATCTTGTTGCATGTATCACGCTTCCTGGAGCTACAAGAAACACGTGCAGCAAAGAATGCCTAAGCCACAAAAATTATTGGCACCACGCCTTTAAGATAAACCCTACAAAGAGCACATGTGTGCTCTTGAGGGAGGGAGAGGGTCCTTTTTGCAGGGCCAAATCAAAAAGTTTAAGAACGAACGCCTTCCGGTGCTGAGTGAACAGAAATTTCTAGGTGTAATTTTAGATTCAAAGCCAAGTTTTATTTTGTATATAAAATGTGTCAAGCACTGCTTGAAACAATAAATCAATTAAAAGTTATCTCTAGTTGTGACATAAATGTTTAATGGCCATTTACAAAAGCCATGTACAGCCACATTTGTGCAGAGCATGCGAGTAGCCAGTTTTTGCATTGCTGGGTGAAACGTTCTGATAGTTTTGAGCTCTGATGTGGTGCGTCTGAAGCATGTGCGGCCTAGCAGTCAGGCTGACCACGTCAGAACCCAAAACTGCCTCAAGGTTCAGATGCGTATGAAAGTCAACAAGCATTGCTGTTCCTCTTCAATCAAGGACCAATTTGCTTATTCATGGTAATGGTATGTTCTGTATGGAGATGTTGAAGTTAAGGGGATAGCCTAGCATACCTAGCTGCTCAATCTTTTTGAACAGTGCGGGATCCTAACTTCCTGCTGTTCTCGTATTTGTGCAGGGTGGGGAAGACTTCACTGATGAACCAGTATGTGAACAAGAAATTCAGCAATCAGTACAAGGCCACCATTGGTGCAGACTTCCTCACCAAAGAAGTCATGGTCGATGACAGGCTGGTCACCATGCAGGTAAGTGTTGGCCTTTGCCTATTGAGTGTGACCAATAACTGAAAAAAAAAAAAAAAAAAATATGATGTGCTGTGCTAGAAACATTGCTTGGTGGCATCTGTGCCTGTAAAACACCAAATATGGCCAGTGTTCTACGGGCACACTTAAATCTCACTGATCGCGCAAGGGCTGATCCTTGCTTTGTGCCCAGATATGGGACACGGCCGGCCAGGAGCGATTTCAGTCGCTGGGCGTGGCCTTCTATCGAGGTGCAGACTGCTGTGTGCTGGTGTTTGACGTCACTGTGCCGGGCAGCTTCAAGGCCCTTGAGTCGTGGCGTGACGAGTTCCTCATACAGGCCTCGCCTCGAGACCCCGAGAACTTCCCATTTGTCGTCATTGGCAACAAAGTCGACCTGGACAACCGGGGGGTGAGTACCTTGCTTTCTAGGCCGTTCACTTTCCGCAAGTAGGCTGGAGATGACTTCACTCAAACAAAAATTTTAATAACGAGATTGAAGCACTGTATCTTCAACAAGCATTCTGTAGCCTGTAAGTTTACCGCTACTAGAATGGTAGTTGCAACAGATGAAAAAGAAGACTCCAGGATATTGCACTATAATGGAGGCTTGATGCACCACAGCAATTGCATATGGTATTCACTTGAAAGGCATAGACTGTAAACTGTTGCCCTTTTACTACCAGCTGACAATATTGAGGAGCAACTTCACTAAAACGAGGAACTTTGTGCTGATCCTAATTGTCTTGCCTGCACAGTGGTGCAACCCACTGTATTTTGACTATTGCGAGATGTCTGCGTTCTAGTTGATGCGATATATTGTCAATTGTGAAGGTAATTGGATGCTATTTTATTAGTGGTGCATACATATTGCTTCGCTAGTTGTCTCTAGACAATTTGTACATTAGGCAGATTTTGGGTGGTAAGGAAATCGTTGGTTCCTCGTGTTTCTTGCCTATGGCTCAGGTGTCCACCAAGCGAGCCCAGGGCTGGTGCCAGTCGAAAAATGGCATCCCGTACTTCGAGACGAGTGCCAAGGAGGCCCTAAATGTGGAACAGGCCTTCCAGACGGTGGCCAAGAATGCGCTCGCCCAGGAGACGGACGTGGAGCTCTACAACGAGTTCCCCGACCAGATCAAGCTGACGAACGAGCAGAAGCCACGCAGCCAGGGCTGCTGCTAATCCCATCTCCCCTTCTTCCAACAGACAGGCAACGTGAACGACCAACAACCCAGTGCTTGCACATACTCCCAATGCACTCCCAGCCGTCGTCTGCAAGCCTCAACACGAGCAGACTTCTTGGTGGCAGCAGAAGACGGGACTCTGATCGTCTGCTTGTTTGAGCGAGCAGACGGCGACAGTGTGAAGTTTGTGTGTGCGCATGCGCGTACTCCAGTGGGCCAAGGGGCACGCAGCTTGGCACTACGTTTCTCCGCTTTATGCCGGCCTCTTGTCTCAAAAAGCTTTGTTTCTGGACACAAGAGTGTTCTAGGCAGGATGCAGGAAGTCTTAAAGTCATTGCCCGCCCCGCCGAGGCAGGTGTTGTGAGCATGTGGGGTAGAGGCGTTGGCGGCATTGTCTTTGGGGTGATTAAGGTTGCTGCTGCACATTTGTGTGATCGTATCTTCTCGAGGCAGCGTGGCAAGGTGGGGAAGGAAAATGCGTAGCAGCCTCTGTTGCGATCTGTGAAATCATTCTGGATGCAACTGAGCGTAGCTTGTCAATGCGCCCATGGCTGGCAATCTAGTGTTTGAGGGGGTTTTGTATCGGACCAGCTTTCGGTGCACAATTTGCTGTAAATTTCGATTTAATGCGTTCCAGCACGGTAGAACTGTCGCGATTAAAGTTGAACCTAACTGGCTGGCACGCTCTTTGAATAAGGTTATCTTACCCATTGGAAATGGGAATAGGGGCGGCTGCATATGTGCACTGTGCACTTGAAGCTTTTGCTCTAGCACAGGTTGAAGCATGCTGAAGTTCTCGTATGCCAGCTGCAGGCATTGTAATATAAGTTATGCCCTGATTTTACAAGGCTGAAGCCGTCGATAGTAGGCGAAAGTATTGGTTTCCTTTAACTCTCTTCCGTGCTTACAGCATATGGCAATTCGTATTTTCTTATTCTTGTCTGGGCTATTTCTACTGTTGATTTCTGCTCTAACTCCCTCAGCTTTAGTATTACGTAAGGTTTTTGATAGACCACCTAGTACCTTGTGAAGGGCAGTGGCCTGTGGTAATATAGACTACTGTAGTATTCTGCGTCTTTCAATTCACCGGTATTACAGGCAATAGTTATCAGTCTCGTTGCCACGTTTTTACAGTTTTCATGCCTGCGTTCAAATTAGGCAGTGTACTTTTGTGGCTCTTGTTATCGGTAAGTGGGCCTTTTATGCGCGTGAAAGTCCAATGCTTAGTTATGAATAAAAAAGAAAAAGCATTCTTAACAATAAATTTTGTTGGTACATCTGCAAAGAACCTTTCCCTAGATTTCTTCTTTTGTCAACAATTCTGTACGTAATGCAATTCTCTAGCTTTGAATAGCTGACATGGAACCACTTGGTAGGCAGTTATGTTCATCTCTCGTAGTCCAAGCTTGAATATTACAGTGGTACGAGGTAAAAAATGTTTCCTGGCTCTTTGCTGTTATGCCTTTACCTCTGTTTTTCGCTACAGTGAGGCTGCATGCAACTTTGCCCAAAGGCAAAATTTTTCTTCCGTGGCATGACGTCAAGTTGGGAATGCTTTGTATCTGTGCAGGGTGTGCTTTTTTTTTTTTTTTTTAGACAGAGCTGCACTATTTTTTTAGGGAGGTGACTGATGTCTGTGCTGGTGGTTACTAATTTTAAGCCTCTGGTTTATATACATACTGTTCATGCCTCTTTCTCTGTTGTGCTTATTTTATACTCGTGTTACAACACTCTGCCGCGAACGACTTCTTTTATGTTCCAGCTGCCAGCCCCTCGTCATAGCATGTTACAAAAGATTCTTTCCTGTTTGAGAGAAAAGAATGTGTAGGCCTTTTTTATGAATAAATCCGCAGTGCGTACACTGTACTCGGTTATGCAGACTGTCTTGCATGTTTTCTGCTTGGAGGGTTTTCAGCTGTGTTCTTTTTTTTTTTGTACCACATGATGTTATCGTAAGAGTTAAAAATGTTCATTTTTCACGTCAGTGGTGTTCAAATCAATACAGTGTTGTGGATCCTCCACATGAAGTTTAGCTTCGGCCTGAATACACTGCAAGGTGCCTTCGCAAGCAGCCCACCAGTGAAAAATCTAGTTGGAAGCTGTCTTGTGAGCTAAGTAGAGCAAAGGTTAAAGGTCAACGTATTTTAACATCAATAACTAGCGCTCTAAATTGAAATTGTTTGATACTAATTTACCATTCTTCTGGGCTTCGCTTTAAACCAAAAAATGTGATATGACAAACTCAAGTTTGTTGCACTGGTCATGCTCCACACGTTGCAATTTATGCAGTGTCTGCAAAGGTTTTCTTACAGCCGTGAAGCAAAAACCCTCCAATGCATTTCGGGAGCATTTCTAGCACTTATTTGAAATATGGATAGCATTTTTTCAGCTGCCTTCTCACCGTTTGAACTGTTGAACAAACTAGGTGTCAGCCAATTATCTTACATGGAACAGATGCAAACTGCCTTTTTGACAAATTCTTTTACAGTAAAAGCTGTTGTGATCAAAACGGCCTTTTTTTTTTTTTTTTTTTGGTGCCATAGTTCGTCGCCTCTGTCTGTAATCGCTATCGTGCCAAATAAGAAAAAAATAACTGCAGGATTCTTTAGCTTGATTTTGAGAAGTAGACAGTGATGCGATGGCTACGCCAAACTGTGCCGAAAGACCAATCCTGCTACATTTCCACTTTTCTGCGCCAAGCTTGCCGTTTTTGTAATTCGAAAATGAAACTACGATCTCTCGCCTTTCTCTCGAGGTCTGAATGCTCAAGCATGCGTCTATCCTCACGTGTGCACACCACGCTGCCATGGCTGTGAGTGTGTGTAGAGAAAGGAAAATGTGTGTGCTTGTGCAATTCTGGGTGGATTACCTTTTTATTACACCATGGGCCGCTTATATAATGTAATCGCTAAAGGAACTCTTATACTATAAGCAAAGTGCCCTTCTGCAGAAACTGCGAAGTAGGGGCAGCTGCATTATTATTCGTGCGGCAGGGATGTAAAATTTCATCCCCTTACATTTGCAAATGTTAAATAGTCAACGGTCACAGGCTTGCTGGGCCCACAAAACGTTCACTTAGGCACATGCACAGTTTACTTTCTTGCTTTCGTTTTATTGGAATGCACGCAAAAAAAGCACGTGTACATTGCTTCAACGGCGACTACATATGTGAAAGATGGGATGTTTCGACAAGTGCAGCAGTGCCTTCTGCCCCGTGTGGCACCCGTCAAAAGCTTGCAATAAGCCATGTAACATAACTACTCCATTCTCGTAAAGCTCCATTGCGGAGTTGAGTGCTGAACGGAGGTAAATGGAGTTGGGTGGTTGCTGTGTGGCAGGTGTATTACTCGCTCTTTGCTCAACTGGCATCTTTTGACGCCTGGTGCGATTCTGAACTGCCACACGATGTGAGGGGAAGAATTCTTCCACTGCATGACATGCGTATAGTGGTTTTTTTCCTAAGCAGCTTCAGCAAATGTGCCTCTGTGGTGGAACACCTGCTTGCCCTATTCTCTCTTAAACCAGGAAATTTATTTTATTTGTATCTTTCTCAATTTTTCACTGACAAAATGATTCTTCACTCGCACCCCAAGGTCACTGATGCCGAAATTGCTGAGAAACAAGCTCTTTAAGGTATCGCCTTAAAATGAAATAAGGATATCTGAGAGAATGGGATTCCAACCTGGGTCCTCGGCATGGGAGCCCAGGATTCTACCACAGAGCCAGGCCCGTGTTTGGAAATTCTCAGCAATTTGAACCTATACAGGCTTCATGGCGGAGAAGGAATCGCTTTATCATGTGTAATGGGCAATAAAAATCGCATGAGTGGTTAATTGAATGCTTTAAACTCTACTAAATGCTCATCAGGTCCGCCACAGTGGAGCAGTGGTTATGGCGCTCAGCTGCTGACCCGAAGGTCGTGTTTTGATGCAGGCTAAATGGTAGTGGCCGTGCAGGTTGAACACCAGATAGTCAAAATTTCCAGAACCCTCCACTAGGGCGTCTCTCGTAAGCATATCGTGGTTTTGGGAAGTAAAACCCCAGATGTTGTCATCAGCCACAACATCCAAGATGAGTAGCAGGTACCACGATTCTCTGAAGGAGCAATACAGGGTTCATGCGGGTCTTTGAAATTCTTGAAAACACTTGGATTTGAAAAATGCTTTAAAGGCATTGAAAATGCTTGAATTTTTTTTAATACATTGTTTCACATTTTACAGCGCATTATGTGATGCTGCAAATGTAGCAAGTGGCATATGTAATGTGCCCATGGCAAAAAATTGAGAATATCGGGAGCTTCTGCACGGAACAAACACTGTTCAATTCTGGAAACTCTGAATTGGCAAGAGCAGGAGAAATAGAAATGTTGCATTGAGGACGAGGCCGAAATGCTTACAAAAAAGAAAACTAGAAGCCATTGTTAAGGAATTAACAGCTTTAGTGGACTCGTATGCAGAAAAGGTGGAGACATTTAGTGACCTGATGTGCATCACAGTCCTAGGTTGACTGCCATGACCAAGCAGCAGGAGATGGTGGATTTTGGTATGAAAATTCATAAAAAGTAACAAGGCATTGTGTAATTGTTGCTTAGTATTTTCTACCTGATTACAAGTTTCCACCATGTGTCATACTGAAACTGATTACCTATGCAACTAATTGTAAACTGTTAAAGAAAATGTCATTGGAGCCTCATTTCTCAGATCTGCTCCAGTGATGTTACACTTTTTCAATGAATTCTGGTTATAACAAGCCTTTATTTTTCCCCAAAGATCTGTTAATTGAGTTTCTAACAGATAGTGTGGCCCTTGATAATTTGCACACATAGCCTTACAAGTCTTTCCAAACCTTTGATCAACCATCAACCCTGTGATGGCGTAGTTAGGTGCTTTCCTCTGTTCCCAAAATTATGATTTATGGCATACTGAGTGCCATGCATGTGTAAGCTGTAGTAGGTGCTCTAACAGTGTTCAAAGAAGGTCCTAAAAAAGCCGCTCTGACAGCTTCCGCTGCAACTTTGCTGTGCATTCCGTGCAGGCCTGGCGTTTTTTCCACAGCAAGAGAGATGAACTAAAGGCCTTAGCAAGAAGGCAGTCCAAATTGGCACCCAGTAAACAATGCCGGCATCCAAAACTTGTAATAAAAAGAAATGTGTACTTTTGCTTTGTGAACATGCTGCCGCGAGAATTATGCAAAAATGTGCCATATTAAGGAAGTTAGAACGTCAGTTTCAGCTGGTTTCAAACTTTCGCACGGCCTCGCTACCCTTCTTCCTCACAGTGAGGGGACGGCGTAGCCCATCGTCGTGACTGGTTTAGACCAATCGACGTGCTACCTTGAAGGAGGATCGGTCAGGCGTAGGAAAGGAGCGCGGGAATTGTTTTTCGAAGTGGAGGCTCTGCGCGGCGCTGCAATAGTATTCAAAAAACTTGATAGCCGCGGTCTTCTGTACGAATTGACAAGCTTCTTTTGGGGGTGAAAAAAAAAAAAGTTTGAGCCTGTTGACTGGCCCTTAAGAAAAGAATAGGAGGCTGTGGAGAAGTGTGCAATACCACATACACACACATCGTATGTCTAGACATAAATCGCTTCCCTGTGAAAGTAATGGCAGTTCATCAAATATGTAGTGCACCAGGTAAACAGTGATGGTATTGCCACTGTGATCATTATAACATTCCGAGGACTGGATCGGAACTCAGCCTCCAGAACTGGTGCCTGAATAATGATGGTAAGTGTGGCAAGTTAATTGAACTTGACTTTGTTTGAACGAAATGAACCAAACGGTCTCACTACTGGAACACAGGTGCTTGCTTCATTTGGCAGGATAGAACACCTTTAAGAGTGCCCTGCATGCCTTGATGCACTGCCACTTTGTGGGGAGCCATGTTGGTTCAGAAGTGTGGCAGTGCTGTAGCTAGTACAGGGGTGGTGCTGCAAATGTGTTGGTGTTAATTACTCGAGTACTTTAAACAAGTGCTATGACAAACTTTTGCATCATGTCACTTGAGTTATCTATGTCGTGTGAGCTTTCATGTCACCCGTCATTCGTGTTGGTCACACATGAATATCGTTGGGCGTCATCGTAATCCGTATCTATTGAAGCGATCACTATGCCATCATGATGGAATCTTGTCATATATAATAGGCCTGTTATGCTGTTCCTGTCTTAAGCTATAATTAAAGATGGCCATACACTAATTTCAATTTGTGACAACTTGGTTTACATTAATGAACAGCTGCGAAAGGGCCAAGATTGTGCACATCATGTATATCATGACTTGTACTGTTATAACGAGTCATTTATGAGGTCGGGGTATTGAATCACGGCTGCATTGAGGTGGTGATGAAATGCTAGAGGCCAGTGTACAAGACATAGCCAGCCATACAGACGGATAGACAGGTACGACTGATTCACCAAGAAATGCTTCACATATAGTAATAAGAACCTTGGTTACTAAGAACATATGTGCACGCCTACTGTCGCAGGAGACAAACTGACCCTAATTTTTGCACACTGTACTGAAAATGCTCCATTGCTGCACGCACAGAAAGCAGTGCGAGCAAGAGGAAACATCTGAACCAAGGTGGCACTTGCAAAGCATTGTCTCCACCCTTTAGTGAAGGAGGTAGGCACATAGAGATTTCCTAATACAAACAAGCACATTGCAACACCTGGTACATTTTCTGCACTGCTGAGGGATTCTCAAATTTTCTTCCTTCAAGACTGCGTGCTGGGCAGTTTGTGTGGCTTGGACAACGGCAATGGTTTCACAAGTTTCCTTCAAGCAAGACGCGTGGTGCATCCGCACATTGTTCATCTGGTGTTGTACATTTGTAAACAACATGCTACACAACACTTTGGTACCCTTTACAACCCTCCCCTGGAGAGCCTTGCTAGTTTATTATGTGCACTACCTGTAATCACAATCAGCTGCACAAGTACATAAACAATGAACAAGAAAAATAAATTAGAGTTAAACATTCTCATTCCAACAAAAAAAAAATGAAATTTCGCATGACAAAGGCATTGCCTGAAGGCAACTGGTTCCATTCTCATATTTTCTTGCGTGTCATTTCTTGTATATCATACCTGTGACCTACGCGGTCCGAGACATAATGAGGTGCTAGTAAATGTTTGGCTTTATCAATTAGGACATTGATAAACAGCATGACAGAACTTCAGTTGCAATTTAGGTCAACAGTTGCTTCAGTAATCCCAATCTAACCTTTTTTTTTTTTTTTTTCAAACTCTCCACCTGATATCTCTATTGTCAATTCCTGATACAAACCAAGCAACTAAATTCTGAACCCTTTGCAGTTTATCAATGTCTTGCTTAGTTTGTGGATCCCAAACTGCACTGACATATTCAAGAATGGGTCTAACATCGGTCTTGTACAATAATTCTTTAGTAGAAATAAGGAAAGATTTCACATTTTGTTGCGAAAATCTCAGTACCTTCTCTGCCTTTGCTACAAATAATGAACCGGTCTCTGCCATCTTAGCTTAGACGTAAAATAAATACCAAGCTATTGCTATTCAGGAACTTGTTTTAAGTTTATGCTATTCATATGACAAATGCTCGCATGTGGTTTGTTCATGGTGGAGGTGATGTCAACTGTTTTACTTGAGTTTAACTTCGTATGCCATTTTTACACATCATTCACTTATTAAAGTAAAGCTACATCGTTCATGTTTGTTTTTTTACTTCCCTATACAACTCCCAATCATCGGCAAATCACTTATGGTTTCCGGAAATTCCAGAGCGTAAGCAAGATAAGGAATGGCAAGTTATACAAATGAGCTGTCAATAAATGCGGCTACCTGCATATCCACATAAGATTTCTTGTTTACTCATGCTTGGCAAGAGTCAAGAGAAATCCAATGCGAGTCTACGCCACAACACCACCAAAATATTATAGGTATCATCAGCCGGAGGAAAAGATAAGAAGGTGAATTTTCCTAGAATTGTGAGGCAATGTCAAAATAGAATAACGGACAGTACGTGTCTCCCGGCCCTTGGCCTCTGTTGTCTTTGTGCTGCAATTGAGTGCATACATGCACGGTTTGCGGAACCAGTGGAGAAAACACTGCAGCTACAAGAATGATGGAAAGAAGGGCGATAAAGAGGGGGACACCACTAAGAAAAGTCGCTAGCTTCAGAGCCGGCCCCAAAGCTAGCGATTTTTCTAAGTGGTGCCCCCTTTCCGCGATTCGGTGGATCCCTTCTTCAAAAGGGACCGAATCGTTCCCGAAACGTCAAGTCAGTTTTTAGTTATTAATTTTAACATCAGGAAATTTAAACTAAAAGTGGCTGGAGAGTTTTTTTATGTGTATGATTTTTTATCCAGCCAGCAGATTTCTGTCGATAATGTTCATCTTTAACACTTGCATACACTCTTTATGTTCTTTGTTATACCAGGAACTTTGTTGTAAAGGTTGCACATTACAGGTAGCATATTAAGGAAGATGTCCAATGAAGTGTCCAACAGAAGAGCCAGAACGTGCAGCCTATCGGAAATGGTGGCACCGGGATTTTTGGCATCTGCGACAAGTGAATTCCTTAATTTGCATGAGTAGAGAGGCAGGAGACTTTAATGCATTGTGTTGTGACTGCTTTGGCGGGGGGCGAAGATAAGGAAAAGGCGAAAATCCTCGGGGAGGGGGGCGCCTTTTTTTCTCATAAGGGCGTTAATATTGTTAATTGTTCTTTAGGGGAGAATTAGCACACAAAAATTATGAGACATGCGGTCCATCGACAAGAAATAAAGAAATACAGTTGTGCAACGAAAAAGAAGGCTATAGCACGGCGATAGCGTTTGAGCCATTTTCCCGGAGACCATGGCCGCAATCGTTTTGTTCATGCCTGCATTAGCATGTCTTCTATTCCCCAATAAGAAACTATATTATCCTTTATACCAGTGTGCCCCGCCGCGGTGGTCTAGTGGCTAAAGTACTCGGCTGCTGACCCGCAGGGCGCGGGATTGAATCCCGGCTGCATTTCATTTCCGATGGAGGTGGCAATGCTGTATGCCCGTGTGTTCAGATTTGGGTGCACGTTAAAGAACCCCAGGTGGTCCAAATTTCCGGAGCACTCCTACTACGGCGTCTCTCATAACCATATGGTGGTTTTGGGACTTTAAACCCCACAAATCAATCAATCATTTTATACCAATGTCACATGGGTACTTCTGAGCGAAATCAGTCAGTCCGGATAGGATTTTTTGGTCGCTATCGACGTGTAGATTATGATAACACTCCTGATGCAGTGTTTCTCCTGTCACAAGTCACCCGATCGCTAGTTTAATTCTTTGTCAGAAACGTCAAATAACAGTTCTAATTAATCATTTTCTTGTGTTTTTGTTATTGTGGTAGATGAGTCAATGTTGGCGGCACTTAATCGTATCGACATTGCTCAAGGGCCTTTAGTTTAGAGACCACTGCGCAAAGCTACTGTCTCGCCGAGAGGATGAACACATGGCTAAACGATCCACCATCCACGAAGTCATTGCAATATTTGTGACGCTGTAAGTACCTTTGTCGTACACTGGCGCACAAGCACGAAAAACAATCTGAACACAGAGGGACTTGACACAAGCGGAACTGCACCGGACTCAAACGCACAGCATGTCATCATGCGGCAGAAAGACATCCGCATTGTAAAACTAAAAACAAAAGCTTTTATTTACTTAGCATGCCCCCACTTATACAATCTTGATTGGTTGATATGTGGGGCTTAACGTCCCGAAACCACCATAAGATGAGACGCCATAGTGGAGGGCTCCGAAAATTTCGACCACCTAGGATTCTTTAACGTGCACCCAAATCTGAGCACACGGGCCTACAATATTGCCGCCTCCATCAGAAATGCAGCCGCCGCAGCCGAGTACCTTAGCCACTAGACCACCGCGGCGGGTCTGCTTATTCAATCTTTGGAAGAAGCTAATCCTTTAATAAATGGTTGCCTCGGTGTTCTAAATTTTGTTATCACCATTTGAAAAAAATTCAGCACTGCTGTGGCGCGCAAGCTGCCGCAAATAAACCGCCTTCATTGAATTCTGCGGCGCGCCTGCGGGAGCGTCGGCAAAAAAATGGCGCCGCGCACACGGCAAGCGGGCAAGGAGAATCGAGGAGGAAACGCGTGCGTGATGGAGTCGTTACTTTCCCAAGATCAAGGGCTTTTGCTCATGAGAGCTGCGTGGTGATCTCTGGTCAATAAACGGATCTAGGAGCAGGAATTGATGCTTTCTTAACAAAAGTTAGAGCGCGAGAACAAAACGAACACAACGAGATACGAAGGACACGAGCGCTAATTTCCAACAAGGCTCGGGTCCATCTTGTCTCTCTGTCGTTCTGTGCTCGCGCTATAAATTTCGTCATGTCATACCAACTAGCCCAAACTGCCACGCTTCTGCAACGTCATCAACAAACCATTCAAGAGCTGAAGAAGTGATAGAAATTAATGAGAGCTAAGAAGCACAATGAGGCCAAACGGGGCTGCACCACGCTATCAATGGGACATATAACGCGTGAAAAATATGCAATGCCCATAGAAGGACAGAACGAAAAATAAATAAAAACAAAGCGCCGATAGAGATGCTACGCCGATATTTCGATCATGCACGAAAGTGCACGCCGTGGCACATTTGGCATCACAGCAGTGTTGAAGAATTGCGCGCTTGGTTTTTTCGGCGGTTGTACGCTGCTGAAATGCTCTACGCATAGAGTTTCATACAATCATACTTATGAAACTATGACTCTACGGGCGTCTGTAAGCAACGCTTGCGGAAGCCTCAACAACGTCCAATTTCGGAGGCCATGTAAACAGTAGGCGTGGTCGTGGGCGACGCAATCCTGCTTTCATACTGTTATAAGACAATATAATATAAAACTTGGTAAAACTGCAGCAATCATTGACATTTGAAAAATAATTATAATTATGTCGAAAGCAGTGCTTAGGGGATTGTTTTTGTTTCTTTTGTACAAATGTACTCAGAAAGTTGTGCGAAAATTCGAAAGACCGAGAGAGGCCTGGCAATGTTATTCAATCACATGATTCATAGAGCTTCATACAATAATTATTGTATGAAACTATGATATAATTGAATAACTCTGGTGCCTTGTCTGGCTAAAGTTGCTAGAGTGTACTAAAAGTGTAATCTGGCCACACTGATACTTTAAATAAAGTGACGTCACTGCGCATTAGCAGTCGCCATCTTTAGTCGAAATTGAGAAGTTGTTCCAGCAGCTGTGCTCTTGTGTCATACGGGTGCTTTAGGCCCCAGGAAAAAGTGTATGATTTTCCTGGCTTGGGTCGGCAGTTCGTGCTCCCGCGAGCCAACGCCCGAGGATTGATGTGTTCCTAGCGTCCACACTCGAAAGAAAGAAGAGTCGCCATGACCATTCTGCCCACCAAAAAGTCGTCGCAGTCCAAAACCGAGGGCGACGGCTCAGACTCGAGCTCGTTTCATGGCGACCGCCATGGTCACTCGGGCGCCGAGCCGTACAACTTCGCGAATCGCAACTCGCCTCCGCGCTGGGCGGCGTCCAACGCTAGTTCGCGGGACGAGAAACGGCCCGCACACGCGACCGCCACTGGCTTCGATGACGCCGTCGACGGCGGGCCGAGCCACTCCAAGCGCAGACACAGGGCATCGCCGCACCGAAGTCTGCGCAAGGTGCACCACCGCTCAGCTGGCATAGTCGTCAAGCCCAGTACGTCGCAGGGAGCCAACAGCCCTGCGGTCGAGGACTCGGCATCAGGCCGCGAAGACTCGGACCCGAGCGGATACAACTCGGGCGACGAGTACGACAAGCCGCCTGAGCTCTGGACCAACGAGGAGTACAAGGAGGCAAGTGGCGCTTTCTTTTTTAATTTGGCCGGAGCCCAATCGCACGCAGAACGTGTGTCAAGTCGATTAGGGGTCAGCGTGAGCCATGTTGGAAGTTTTCCGTGGACCCGCTTTTCGCAGACGCGGCTTAGGGCAGGTCAGCGTGTGAAGGGCAGGTCAACGGTGCTGACGCAGGGCAAGGCCCTGCGCGCGCGTGTCCGTCTAGCTTGGACACGGAATGAGTGACGGCGATTGCAGTTCTTTTTTTTTTTTCTTCTCGCTCACCCCGACGTAACGTCGTCCGTTTTTCAAATGGGCGAGACGCATTTTCTGGCGCTCCGCCCGAGAAGCGTCCGATTGCGACATGCACGATCAATGCGCATAACTTCTACGGATCTTTCGATGAATAACCGACGTAGCAGTGTTATGTATTGATTTTACCTCAGTTTGAACAACCGCTCCTACATCTTCGCGGAAAATGTTTGGCTCGGCATCTGGGATCTGTTGGGAAGTGCGTCGGGCATATGTTTGCTGGCTGAACGAAGCCTTTCATCTAGGACCAACACTACATCTAGTTTTACTGTCTCGGCTCACACCTGCTATTTCTGAGCTCGCTTCTAGATTTGGTACACCTTTATCTAGTTTTGGTAGGTGCCTCCAGGCAACACCTGCAGCATCAGTCTTCGCGGTCGATAAGGAAGCTGAGTTTTTTTTATTTACCACCATAAGCTGCATACACCAATGAGCCACACTACTTCATTGGTGTTCAAGATCGGCAGGTTTACACCGGGTGTGGTTTCAGCATTTGGCTTGAGTGATTGCCATTCTTTTTGGCCACACATCATGATGTCACTTTGCTATGATTATTGTAAATTAAATGAGAAGCTGCTTCTCAATGACAATTCACAGAAAGTGCTTCGACAGAGATTCTCAAATGCCCTGTAATTCATGCAGCATGAAATGCAGTAGCTGCTCAAATTGAGCGCTGCAATTTCCTGTTGTCAGATACAAAGCTAGTTTCAACTGAAGCAGGGATATTGTGAAGTAGTTTTAGCAGTACACTTGTAGAGCTAATAAATCCATAAGAGTGCATGCGACAAAAGCATTGACTAACATAACCCACAAATGAAGATGAGTGTTAACATTGTGCACTCGATTTTAATGATGTACAGTTGTCATAGAAATCATGCAAAGGCTCTTACTACTCACTGCAGTTGTGTGAGCTTTTGTGAAGCTGTTTACTCTATTGTCAGTGATTGTAGATGGAGAGAATTTGATCACAACAGCGTCTACACACGAAGTCATGAAAGTTTAATGACATTGACAAACGTCGTATGCGTTGATGCAGCCAGATACAACTGGGGGAAATGCGTAGCGATAGTAGTGGGCTGGAAATTGCCAAGGTGGAGTCTTTTGCCATGCCTTGGCCATAAAAGAACACAGACCAAAAGAACAATCAGTCATAGTATCAGACTCACAAGAAGCGTGCCGACTTTATATGAATGGAGGCTTACCTGCAGAAAAATTAAACTGGTTGGACCTAACATAACCAAGAGACCCCGGCTGATTTGGTGCCCCGCACACGCTGGCCTGGATGGGAATGAAAAAGAGGATGCTTTAGCTTGAGATTTGACGAACCTAGCAGAGTGTCAGCCTCCCGCAATCGAGTCCCATTTAATGGCCCCACAAGACATTCTTGCTTACCAACGGAGCACTCGACAAAAATATAGTGCTCCTCATAAATCACTTGGAGGGGAAGACGCCACGGATCTCCGCAAGGTGCAGGACGGGAGTCTTTTCATATTTATCGTGGCACAGAAAATGATATCCTACGCTATATCGTGACGCTTTTCTATGGTGCGACAGTTCGCCAACATTGTATCACATGTCTTGGGTGTGTGGAAAGCCAGATAACTTGAAATCGTTTTTGGGCAACAACATTGTAACTAGTTCAAAGCAATGGGAGGCACAACTTGCCAGCTCAGACACAAAGGTGCATTTAGCGCTTCTGTGTCATGTTAGGTGAGCGGCACAAGCCAGTGGGGCCCTGGTCTTGGGGCCCCAACCAATATGCTTCTGAGTACCCCTTTTCTACCCCTTCCTTCAAAATAAAATATTGTTCATCTTCTTTATTACATCAAGCACACAGTTCATGTGCAGTGATAACTGCATGATTTCCATGCCTTTTTTGGGGAAGCACTTATCAGATGTTCAGTGATTCAGACTATTTGAAGCTGCAGAAAAGAAAACGATGCCAAACTTCAGAGAAAATGGTCTATCTTCTTACTAATCGTTTTGTATATATGCGCCCCCAACTTACTTATCGGCTTTCGACGTGCACAAGTGACAACCTGACTTATCGGTTTATTAACTATGTTCTCTTGTAAGTTTTATTGCTGCTATCTTACCACGTAACTTCTCAAGAAGATAGTAAAACACTTTGCCGGTAAGGCAATTAAACCAATGTTTTCATAGAAAAGGGCTCAATTCATTAGTGCCATGCTTTTCAAGTGCAAACAGCAAGTAAATGCTTTCAGACTATTATCATTTTCCAGAGCATATCCGTACAGGAGTACTCATGCGCACGCTAGTTTCCATTTTGCCATGAACACTGGAATGGAACGGGCACATTCACATGGTGTCTCAGTAGGAAGATACAAGGTATATAATTTAAAATTTTTTTTCTGGGTAGTAATAACGAGGAAAACATTCTATAGGTAATGGTGAATGTAAGGATAATCGTCAGCTAACTAAAACGTTACCATGTTTGATCAGTTTGATTATCTTGATATGGTGAGTTCTGTAAAAAAAAAAGTACTTTTAGTCATTTTAAGGGTAGGATAAAAGCTTTATTTGTTGCAAAAAATATACATGCATTGGGTTTAGTATATACTGAAGAAGGTCCCATAGCACAAGGCTGAAAGGGGACCTCCTGTTAGAAAATGACTTGTTGATAAATACAACAAAATGGCAACAAAAGCAATTAAGTAATTATTGATAGTAATCAAAACAGTACAAACATGCAATAAAAAATGCCAGTAAAAATTGTGATAAAACAATGCTCAGTAATTGTGCATAACTATGAAAGCAACGAAACATACAATAAAAATGACAGTAGAAGCGGGAACTAAATGATGTTAATTAATGATATGTAGTTATTAAAACAACTCCAATGTGCATGGGTAATGTGAAAATAACACACGAAGTAATAGCTGTAAATGTAAGAGAAGGCCGATCTAAAAATGAAGATGAGTTATGGTTGCGAAATAAGTAAGATGTTTAAGTTCTTTTTTAAAAGCAGCTAATGACATTTGTTTAGTGCTTAGTGGTACTGAATTCCAAAATTTGATAGCTGCAAATATGGTAGTATGTTTGCCGTAGTTAGTGTGTGCATGTGGTAGTAAAAAGTTGTTGTTTGAGGCAAACCTGGTAGGATTAGAGTTCAACAATTGAAATTTCTCTAAAACATTGACTGTTATAGTACCGTTAAGACACTCAAATACAAGAATCCCCAATTTATATTTGAATAAATTACACACTGTTAGTACATTATGTTGCTGAAAAAGTGGAGATGCACAGGTGATCGGTGAACTGAATGTTAGGATGCGAATGGCTTGGTTTTGGAGACGTTGGAGTGGAAGGATATGAGATGGATAGGTATTCGCCCATGACGTGATACAGTACGTGATATGACTGTGGATGAATGCGTAGTGCAGTTTAAGCAAAGTCTGAAAATTGAAGAATGGTCGTGCTTTAATTAATGTTCTGATACCATTAGCAATCCTCTGTCTTATAAGTGAAATGTGATGATGGTACTTGAGATGAGCATCTAAAATTACTCCCAAGAATGTGCACTTATGAGTACTAAGATGACTGTGGCCATTGATAGTAATAGCAGGTGTAGGTGAAAGAGGGTTATGACTAGAATGGAAGACAATGAACTGTGTTTTATTGATATTAATAGGTAAACCATTAGCTGTACACCAGTTCTGAATGTTATAGAAGTCAGAAGACAATTTATAAGTTAGCGCATCGATGGACTTGCCTTTAGTAACTATAGTTGTATTATCTGCGTACAAGAAAGATTGACTGTGTGTTAAAACTGAGGTTAGATGATTAATATAGATTAAGAATAAAAGCGGGCCCAGTATAGATCCTTGCGAAACACCTTTGTCAATAGATTTAAAGGTGGAGAGAATGTTAGACACAAATAGCTTGCTGTCTATTAGATAAGTAGCTATTAATCAGCTCCTGCGCACTATCGACGACACCTATTGAGTTGAGTTTGCCTAATAGTATATTATGAACTATGGAGTCAAATGCCTTAGAGAGGTCAATCAACAGAGCTCCTGCAAAACATCTAGAGTCAAGCGCGTGTTTAATATAATCAGTAAAAGAGAGTAGTGTAAAGTCTGTTGAATAGCCTGCACGAAAACCAAATTGTTGAGTGGATAATATACGAAGCTTATTTAGATATTTAGATAATCGTTTTTCAATACACTTCTCTATGATTTTGCTGTATGATGAAAGAATGGCAATAGGTCGGCAGTTATCAATAGAAGTTATATCACCTTTTTTAAAGACTGGAATTTTCTTGGCATTTTTAAGCTGCAATGGGAAGAGGCCAGTTTTAAACATGAGGTTAATGATATAGGCTAAAGGGGTCGAGATCACGTGAGAGATGCATTTCAGATGAATAGGCTGAATGTTATTGAGACCAGCACTTTTTGTTTTCATGTGATTAATTATTTCCACCAACTCATCTGGGCCTGTCGGAAAGAGATAAAAAGACTGAAGACATTTTCTAATTGTTGGCTGGTAATCATGAAGCAAGAGGGAAGTGTTAGCACAGAAGTACTTGTTGAAGGCATTCGCAATGTCATCTGCATTTCTAAGAACACCCTCTGATCACTAATTCAATTATAGCTGGCTCACTTACTGATTTGTTTAGAAACGAATTAATTGTTTTCTATTGATTTTTGCAGTTATTACCAGCATTATGTATCCTGTTCGTATAATAA